TCTCACTGTCACTTAAAGCTGTGAAAATTTGGTGTTATCTGACGACAATAAGTATACATTATTTTTTGTTAAAGACTGTATTTGAAAAACATAAACTCCTAGAAAACATCCATGTAGTAATAGCAAAGATTTTCAAGCTTGTTTATCGGCACAATCAATTTGTTTTCCCATCAAGGTCTGTTTTAACATGTGTAGGGACATCCAAATGTGTAAGGCTATTGGAAACCAAAAAAATAAAGGAATGGGATAGCTATAATTGGATAAATTCGGCATATGAAAACACCAAAATCAATGATTTTTTTTCAGTGGCTGTGTGACCTTGAGTGATATCGTGCCGTGTAATATTCAATGAAAAATATAGTGAAACACGAGGTCCAAGCTGGGGGGGGGGGGTGACCACATAAGGTGTTGCAATAGTGTAAATAAAACAAAGCCAGTCACAGATTGTTTCCTTTGCTAGGTAAAATCAATGTACAGAATACTTAGATGAAACAACTAAAGTATTAGAGTCAATGAATTCGTAATTTCCAATGAAAAGGGCTGGGAAAAAATATCCCTCATAACAAATCACCGTCGATCGTAACAAATCACCGTGTTGAGGGGGTGGTGAACAAATGAGACACCGATTGTCAAATTGTTTTGGTAATCATCGCATGTCGATTCATTTCATTTGTACAGGGTACTCTGACACAAAAATAAGGTAAACCAGCCTACTTAGTGATAATGATTTTGTGATTTTCCACACGAAGAACGCTCTCAGAAATAATCCGACATGCTGATCAGCACACCAACAATCGCACTAAAATTGATCACAGCTGTCACGGTAAATTCGGTATGTTTTACGAAGTTTTTTTCTCTCCAAATCCCAACATATATTTACACATGTAGGCGAATTTTGTCAGCTCTGTGTAAATAGATATTTTTACTGGGCATGTGCCCCATTTTACGTACGAGAAGCCCTAGTCATCAACACACATTAACATCCCATACATGTACCTACTAATCGACTTGATAGCTTCGTAATTTGGGGAGAGTGGGGGTGAAAGTGCACGATGCAAGTTTCCAAATGTGTAAAGGAAAATAAAGGAAAGAAGTACAATACAATGCTGGTAGACGATACAAAGGATATATCTCTTTACGGCAGCGACTTGATACAACTACATTGATGCTGGAGGTCACCATATTTGTTCTCGCGTTCAATAATACGGTGATAATCACGATTCACAAGTACAACGAATTTACACAACATTTTACCATGAAATCGAACCTACCAACCATTTTCATATCTTCAACACTGCCATGGTTTTGGCGAGGATGAATCTCACATTCATTATTTTCTTGACTAGGCTCACACAGGTTTCAATGCTCCGTGGCTTGAATGTAACTGTACAGCACACGTGAATGTAAACTAGCTTGCACAGTAATTCGTTTCACAGTCATTGAGGTTATATATTTGTTCAATTACTTATTTATTTATTTACTTATACGATATTAAAAAATCATACATGTAATTTCTTAGACCTTTTCATAATGTAAACTGATACATGTCATCTCCCAGGGCGTTTGCTTCGTTTTTGTACAACACACTGGAAATAACAAAATGGCTGACACCATCACAAATTACTGGTCATAAAAAATAGAATATGCATGCGCAACATTATGCAAATTAGTCCACTCACCGATTCCTATTAATTGTATTCATGCAATTGACCATAAAAAAAATTTTAAAAAAATAATAAAAAATACAAAAAAAATGCTAAATTTTAATTAAAATGTAAAATAAAACAATGAATTGCAGCAGCCAATCATTAGCAACATTCTTACCAAGTTACATAAAAATCGTTTTAATGCTTCTTGAGATATAACTGAAATAGCTTAAAATTCACACATTATTATGCAGATGAGCTCATTAATATGCATGGATGTCAACCAAAAACTACCGGGGTAGTCAAATCTGCGCATTGCCCCAGACAAGCTATATACCAAGTTTCATTGAAATTCGAACATTGGTTCTTGAGATATTGATGGAACAGACACACACACACACACAGACACAGACACACACACACACAGACACAGACAGACACACTAAATGCAAAGACTCCTTTTTTGTGCTTCGCACACAGGAGTCAAAAATGTATATTAAAGGAGATACATGAAAAAATGAAATGAAATCTTAATTCAAGTGATTCCATATTGTCGATTTTTATTATTTCTGATTTATTTGTCACATTATAAGCAATAAATTATTCTTGTTTTACTTCTAATGTTACATATTATTCATTTACTGTGGAATACTTTATTTTCGCTGGAATTAATTTTCGCTGAAAAGACTTTTTGAGCGTTTCGTATGGAATTTATTTTCCCTTTTTGATGAGTTTAATGTGAAACGTAGGAAGAAAAAAGTACATTTGCTGGATTTTATTTTCACGGAATCATCCGTTCAGCGAAAATAGCGAAAAAAATTCCAAGCGAAAATAAAGTATTCTATAGTATTTTTGCATGTTTTTGTTTCAGTTGCCGTTCTATTCCCTGCCGCAGTACGATCTGCGTGTTGTCAATTTTCCCAAATTTTCTTTTTTGCAGGGAATGTCCAGGCATATGCCCACCCCTATTTTTTTGACAATTTTCCATGTTCAGGACGCTGGGCTCTTACCCGGATATCGATCAGCATCATTTATTTTATGTTTTTTGTCATATTACTTCAGACCCTGTAAATGGGAAGAAACGGTGTGCATTGCCGTGTTATAACTGTCATAAAGGTGATTGACAGGTCATACTTGATTTCAACTCTGGAAGGACAATTGGAATTTACCAGGTGTGCTGTTATTTGAATAACAAAAGATGTTTAAGATCTACTGAGTTGCCTACGTTACACAGCTTCTAGCAAGATCACATTCTGATTGGCTCATGTGGAAACCCAGGTGGTGTCACTGAATCTGGGCCATTTATGCCTATAAATTGGGCAGACTGAGGACAGTTGGGGTCCATCATTTCTACTGTGTATCCTGTGTGTAGCTACTGCAAATTGTGAGAAAAGTGATACAGGCTTCAACCATCATTCTGTGAGACTTGAATGAACTGCTCTGTGATCTCCTGCTTTCTGAGGTGCCCTCCAGAATAACAGCGTTCCTCTGCGAGCAAGACTCCTGTATTTCTTCATTGTTGTGTTGTAGAAGCCATTGACTGTTAATACATGCTGGAACTGTGACTTATCACCAATGCACACTTCCCTAAGCAATCCCCTATTTTAGTAACTTTATTCATTGTATTTTTCTGTGCTTTATTACTTGTAATTATTTTGAGAGGTATTAAAGCCAGGAGCTTTAACTCGATATTTTGGTGTATATGTGTATTTCATTTCCAGTACTATTTTCTTGTGTACCCCATACTAGCAGTGAAAGGACCCCCTGTCCAGTGTGAATTCTTTGGGTGCCCTCTCATCAGCGATAAGCAGGCCTTACACAGTGACAGCGGATAAATACAGTAAGTTTGATAGCGATGATAAATTATAAATGAAATGAATTAAAGGTTATAAAGGTCTTTGTATTTAAACACAGAAGAGTTAGAATGTGTGGGGTTGTATTAAACTTGAAGCTGAATCAATATAATTTGCAGCAAATCAAAGGCAATTGCTGTATAGCTTAGACACTGGATTTATACTTTTGGCATTTACCGATACTACCGACCTGTATAACCTGCTGAACAACGACCTAATGACTATTTGGGAGTTGATGACACGGTATACGTGCCATTACAGTACTATTCTATTCAACCATGAATGGGCAATTTTAATTATGACTATAATGAAAAATTAAACTCACCACTACATGTGACAGGATCAACCGTCCATGAAGTACCATTACAAGTAGATGTCAATGATGTAGATGCCTCATATCCATCTAAACATGTATATGTACATACACTGGTATCATTTAAAGCATCAGAACATGATGTAGACTGTGTACTCTCATCAGATGGGAATCCAGTACATTGACCTGAAAATAAAATATACTTATTACACTGATTTCACCAATACAAAGTGCATAATTATAAAATTGCACACCATAAACCTATTACAATTATATTACAACTCCTACAGTGTATGAAAAAGGTCATTGCTTTGACATTTCTCATTATAAGGCATTTCTCATTATATGCCACATTTTGGGTGCAAAGCAGTAAATGTATTGCTGAGAGCTCTGTTGCAATCAACATTTAAAAATTTATTTCCACTACTCAGATTTTTTACTGTTTACCTGTGTTGTATGACATCATATTACATTGTATCTTGTTTATTGATTTAATGTTGCAAGTTAGATGTTGGTCTTGATGCCTGGTTCTATAACCTTTGACCTCGTAACTAAGACTAATTACTTTTTGCTATGATAGTAGAATCTTCCACTTTGAATTGAACCAATCACAGTTCTGTATTCTATTTTGACAACATTATGCAAATACTACAAGCTACCAAACTTTTGGAGGGAGTAGTTCTGCTTTTGACTTCAATGTGGTACTCTGACATGCTGTAATAAAGTGAACCTAACAGAACTCTGATTTTGACTTTGTCTCATGGAGGTCTATTTCTCTACACAACGCAACCCTATCTCACCGACCACAAAATGTAACATAAAACACTTTGTCTGAAATAATACAATTGTAGGACATACCAGAAAATTGCAGATGTCAAGTGAGCATCGGAAGCACTATTACCACAACATACATGTAGTCAAATCTGTATTAGAAGCTGCATCCATAATAGAAGTCACAATCATTATTTTGGAATATTTGAGAACCAAAAACTCATCATTTCACATATGTGTAGATGCTCTAATAGAAGCAGCATCCCCTGTTGCATTGTACCATTTTTATAGAAGCTGTGATTTCTAATACAGATTTTACAGTATATTGTGTTTGTTAATAAAGTCACAAACAAATCTTCACAAAATGTGACATAATATAGGATTGCCACTTAGATAAATTCAAATTTACACATTAGAAAGAGGGGGAATGATATGGACCTGTATGTATGTATGTATGAGGTGATGTCAGGTGTTTCAAAATAGTCCTCCACATGTGGCACCCATCATATATCATTCTCAATCATAAACAACAAATGGCTTGTTCAAAAACTGAGAGAAGCAACATTGATGTCATCAGAGATCATCTGTGTAAAAAGTATTATGATATTTAACCAAGTTCTCATTATATCTGCCAATAAACTTTTTGAATGTTATGGTAGCTGTTCTCCAGAAAGCCCTAAATTGTTCAATTCTTTGGACAAAAGAAGAGATGTACCTTTGAAAATCTTGCATATTTTTTATACACAAGTTTTAACATAGTGTACAATTTGTGATGATAAAATTAAAAAAAATGTTTTCTGTCTGCAATTGTGAAAACACTTTTATCTAATTAATGCATGTCAGATATATATATATATTGAAAACTGAATTCGTCTGATGTATGTGCAAAGTTTGAACTTCATTCATCCAACCATATGTGGGCTATAGCTGGATACAGACAGGCACATACACGCAACATTTTCAAACTGTGTACAAACAAGAACTACCAAAATTAATTAATCGGTTGTTAAAGTTTTTGCAATGACTGTCTAAAGAACAGTATTGCTGCATGCAATAGAATGTGCTAAGACACATACAGAAGTAACGCTTCTTATGATAGTTTCTGCTGGCGAAACAACTGAAAATGCATACATGTCATAAATATGATATCACATTTTGTGACAGTGTAATGTCATAATAATTAAACTCGTGTAGTAATTTTCATATATTCCTCACCAAAGACTGAGAACATATTACTATATTCATTTAATAAATACAATATTACATTGTCACACATTGGACATCCTCTATGTATGACATACAAAAAACAGATTCAGTAATCCATAGTTTCAAGTTCAAATCATTAAATTAAAAATATAATCAGTAAATTTAGGATTGGTAATGAATATGACATCATCGTAATAGCTGAATGTAAATTCAATAAATCACTCAGCAAGGAAGTCTACTAGTAATTCAAAGCCAGTGAGATGTCGATACTTTGCTGAAAAAAATGTATCCTCCAAACTCAACATACAAGTCTGCAAGCATGCAGATAATTCCACCTTCACTTAAAAACTTGCATCAGTCTTGTTCTTAACTTTCCATAATAATAAAAAAACATTTCTATGAAAACAAATGTTGAAACAATATTCTGTAAATCACCCAGACTTACCTTTTACATGATGTAAACATATGAATATAACAACAAATGAAGTCCACAGGTAAAGCCAGTTTAGAGACACAGCCATAATGTATGTCTTGAGTTCTTGCGAATTTCCTGTGGAGCAATGGTAAAATTTGTATTTTTATAAAAATTGTGTTTATTCATTGTCTTGTGGAAATGAATGGCGATGCAACTCATTTCGCAAAAAGACATAATATTCCCCCTAAATCGGCACATGGGAATGAAAATTTCTCTGCCTCCCGCCGAACATATGCCCATCCCCCCTGTCGTAGACGGAAGCATCAAACTGGCTTCCCTAACAATCTGGGTGAGCAAAGGGGGAGTGACCCTTAGCGGAGGTCGGGCTAAGGAAATGATTTCTGTTACTGGCCCCAACAGACGGTCCCTGGCTTACAAAGTGCAGGAGGGAGATGAAACGCATGTCCTGCCCTGGTTGGTCCACTCCGAAATTGGAGACCGGACCCCCCTCTCCCCGAAGAGGGAGTGACCCTTAGCGGAGACCGAACTCAGGCAAAGATTCCTGTTACTGGCTCCAACAGACGATGCCTGGTTGACAAAGTCCAGGAGGGAGATGAAACGCATGTCCTACCCTGGTTGGTTCACTCCGAAATCAGAGGACTGAACCTCCACCCCCAAGGCAACCCACCCATAGTTGGTCTACCCGACCTGTGAGTGACGCAATCTGTCCCAAGAGGCCCTCATCCATAGCCCAAATCTTGGGGGCAAACCTCTCTCCGTCATTGGCTGAATCGCAGATCAATGCCTACAGTTCAAAATAGTTTTGACTGTGGAGTCTATGGTGAATAATTGAACATTGTGAATTTGTCTATATCCACTCTAAGAACTCCCAACATTTGTATTTTTGAAATTTAACAAAACATGTTTATGATGTCCCCAGTTTTCTGTAATTCACTGCAGTTGTGTACTGTTTTTAAAATCCCAGGAACCCCCAATTGCAATATAATAATGTTTTTATTGCCTTCTTCTAAATAATTTTACACTTGATGATAGCAAAAACTGATACTTCATAAAATGAATTGCAAATAAGTCAATAAAAAATGTTTAAGAGTCTCTTATATTATAATGTCTGTCTTCAAAGTAAATAAGTGAATAGATTTTTAATATTACATTTCTGACAAGTCAGTAGATAGTATTCCTCATCTTTTATTAATGGCTTATTACTTCTCTGGCATATACTGTTTTTACTAGACTTTTAGGTTTAGTTGAATTCCAAACTTTGGTGTTTTGTTGAAATCTAGATTATTTAAATGCCATGATGTCTCGAATTATAGTCTGCTCACAGTTCCTCTATCCCAGGTCTGGAAACGGCTATTGTATTAGGTGGGAATTGGTCTCCTTCTCTGGCAAAGACACATTGTGGGTATGTGCGAAGCATTGTGGTCTGTTTTAAAATTTTGCATTTTTGTTTGAAATAATTTCTTCAGATAAATTCACATACATGTATTTACAAATTATGAATTTTCGAATAAAGTGTTTTTTTCTATTCTATTCTATGTATTTATTCTATTCTAAGTTCTATTACTGTAAAATCTGTATTAAAAGCCGCAGTAAAATGACAAAATGCAACAGAGGGGATGGGGCTTCTATTAGAGCATCTACACATAATAATAATAATAATAATAACTTTATTGCATCCTTAGAAATACAATGTTTCTATCAGTTAATAGCAATAAAGATTAGTTATGATAACTACTACTACAAAAAGAAAGTTAGTTGTTAAAAAGATAAAGCAAGTGTTACATATCAAATGGCATTTTCATTTCTTGATTGAAATGCATTAATAATAATAACAATTTTATTGCATCCTTGAAATAAATTTTTCATCAGTTAAAAGCAATAGCAATGAAATACATAAACAAACAAAAAATGTAAAATGCATTATGAATATAGTTGCCAATCTTTTTTATTATTACATCATCTTTTGAAGTCATCACGAAATTAAATTTCTGGAGATCATTCTGTGTTTCTTGTGGAAATATAATGTCTTGTATGATTTGTTGGCGTATTACTTTATATTGTGGACATTTCATAACAAAGTGCAGTTCATCTTCTATTTCATTCTGTGAACATTGTTTGCAAATTCTATTTTCAGTAGTATGAGAAATGGTGAATTTTTGGGTCCCAATTGTTCAAAAAGAATGAGTGCAGCTTCTATTAGGGATACGGCTTCTAATACAGATTTTACGGTAATAGTACCATTTTACAACTGGAAAAAGTGATACATTGAACACTATAACTGAATAAATATATTTATACAGCTAACGTGAAATACCTACAATATGTCTGCACAACACAGATCGCTTGATTCGTATAACGTGTTCAAAAAAAGAATGAGATAGTAGTATTTATTAACATAGCTAACAATTTATTTCCCCCAAACCACGGTCACTCTATATCGATCCAACGAATTTACAAAACAAATTACAATGGAGGCCGGGTGTGGTACTTGTCTTTCCTTGTTAAAAGTACGAAAACATTGCAATCCTGGCTAACAACAATATCGGCATATTTAGATTAAAACGTAGACAACAGAGAGGACAAGTGCATCTAGAGTACAGTATATTTACGTATCTAAATCTAGCCATACTCTGAGAATCTTGCAGACGATTTTCTAAAATAACTTATCACGGCCACTGAACCAGGAAACAAAACTTGGAAACGAAATTTGGAAGTCACAAATCGAAAAGTTGACAAACATTTGAACTTACGTGTGCAACTTTTTAGCTACAGTTCTTCTACGATATTCTCAAAGGACAGTCAAGTGATTTTAATCGTCCAGTTATCTCATATCTCGAATGTTATTAAGTATTTACCGCAACTCCGAACGGGACCCTACTTCCTCAACGCCGCCATCTTGGTTGTGTACTGGAGCTTGTCAACACTTTCATTTCCTCGTACAGCGCCCTCACAACAACTCGTGCAAAATTAATCTGTGTTGTTTTTATCTGAATATACATAAGAAGCTACAACGAAATTGGAGCATGACATCAACCACACTTTACCACCAATCTTGTAAATTGGGGTAAACTTACTATCTAGGGATCTCGATTTATTATATCAAGATAATTTGTTTTTCGTCTATAATAATTCCCCAATTGGCATTCATATTAATGGCCAATTGACTAACATTCGAACGTTTTCAAAGGACGTCGTTACGCACTGTGCTCGGTGATTATTTCTAAAGACGAAGGGAATGCCTTTGTTGCGCTGGAAGTACATGA